TCTGTTCTCCAGAGATGGACACTGAGATCTAAAGATGTTAGCTTGCCCAGCTTGTAAGCAGCAGAACCAACATTCCCAAGCCAATATTTTTAACTGTTATCTTCAGTCCACTAGGAGCAGAGAATTATCATTTGGAAACCTGGTGTCTGTGACACGATGCTGTTCAGCACCTCCAGGTGACACATACTAAGGCATTTAACCCTGAGCAATAAATCAAAGGACTGTGTCATCAATAATAATAATATTTGTTACAGAAAGATATGCACCAAATGTCCTTACACATATACATAAGGAAAGCATTAAGTATCAATATTTAAGCATACAGACTTTGCTGTAGAATCTGTCAGTGTATTTAAAACCTGGAAAGAATGAAACAGTCACCAAAGTCCCTTTGACACACTGTTTTGATACAACTCATCTTCCCTCCCTCCCTGTGGGCTCTCGCTGCCATATTCAGCCCTATTTTCCTAATATGCTTTGGAAGCTCAGGGGCCATATTATCCATGTAGGGTTGATTAGACTTGTGGCTCTTAATGATCATTATTTTTTCTTTCTTCAACATGTCTTTGGATATTTTCAGGTTGATTTTTAGGAGGACTAGGAAAATGCAATTAAACCTGTAATTGATTTGTTAGCTCCCTCTAGGAGAGTTGAAAATAACACATGCACACACACACACACACACACACACACTCACACACACTAGGAGTCTTCAAAAAGCTCATGGAAAGATTCATATAACCTTTAATTCCATTTTTTCACAAACTTTTTGAAGTTACCCTAAAGAATATAATTGAGGGCAATGTGGTTTTCATGCCAGAGGGAATAAGTCAAATATCATTATTATATATCTCCAAATTCAGGCTTAAAAAGCTACATTATCAAAATACTTCTCCAGTGTTTATTGTCATGCCTTTGTATTTAGGGATTTGAAAGTTATAGCAAGCAGAGAGTTGCTTGATAATTCCTCATTTCCTTACTCAACATTTCCCCAGTTCCCTACCTCCAGATCCATCATCTGGACACTGAGATGGAGATATAATTTCTGACTATTCTTTTTGCCAGACAAAGAGATTTCTATATTATAAGCAAGATCACCTTATCAGCATGCAGTTGGCAGAAAGGTAAGATGACGTTCGAACTCTAGTTCTTTACTCTTTGAACTGTCCTTTCTACAAAGTATTAAAAGGGAAAAGGTTATTTTCAGAAGTGGGCAGCAAGCAGAGCCAGAGGATTCACTCTGCTTGGCCTCTGCCACCTTGGCCAGTGATCCTCCTCCTCCAACATGGTGCTCTCCAGTGCAGTTCAATAGTAGAGGGCAGGATGGTTTTGTTTTGGAGAGTTTTCCTGCTAACTGAGGGTGGCCCAAGGGGAAACTCCTTTGGCATAATGTTCTTTTTTTTTTTTTTTTTTTTTTTTTTTTTTTTTTTTTCCGTGTCCGGCAA